TGTTTTAGTTTAATTACATAATAATTGCCCTGTATGGATGTTTACGGCTTAGATGTTTGTCTTTTGCTAATAACTGAAGCAAATGCACAGGGGCCAAAATCCATTGAAAATCCATTGAAAATTGGCTACAAAAGGCAGCGTCCTGCAAAAGACACAAGACCTCGAGAGACAAACAGCAGCAGCAGCAGCAAGACTGAAAAGGATAAAGCCAAAAAGACAGGCAATTATATAAGACACACGAGGCATGTGCTTATTTTGATTTAATTTCCCTTTTAAGACCCAAACACACACACACACACAGCACGCACACTGGTGTCCAACATTATTTACATATTTGATTGGGAAAATCTCTGCAGCTCTGCAGCGGCAACGGAGAGTGGTAAGATTTTTCATCCCATATTCACATTTTACCTTTTCTACTTGGCTTCAGCATTGGGCTGAGCTTCAGTTTTCAGCTTCTTCCTTTCACATGTTTCCTTTGCTTTGTTTACGATTTCCTTCGAAGTGGAAATCAAATTAGTGCCGTAGTAAAATTCATTTTAGGGTAAATTTGCACAAATTTTCGCCCTTTGTTATGGCAATGACTGCAATCTGGATGCCAGAGACAGAGCATTTAAGGAAGTGCCTGATGGACCTTTAAAACAATTTACATATTTTTGAAAGATTTCTGGGTATTTTGTTAGATTAAAAATTATTACCGAGAGCGGATGAAGTCTCTATTTTTCTCTCTCAACCTCCTATTCTAGTGAGACTGTTAATGATTAAGAGGATCTGTGGCATCTTTTGGATTGATCTTTCATTTTTTATCCACAACAAATAACAGGTGATTTTCTTGTATGCTTTCTTCAACCTATGTTTCCTCCGAGCTTTGACTCCCTAGCTAGCTTCTTCCCAGCGATTCTCTTACTCCAATTTTAGGCATTTAGAAGCCACAACTTTATTTCACTACTTCACAGTTTATAGAACTCTAAGAACTTCCATGTCTTGATTAAACTTTTGCCAGAAAATGCAAACCCGTTCATGCAGTTCTTTCACCCAACTCACTTAAAGATCATTTTGGTGTATGGTTTGCTCTTTAATTTGGTTTTTGTTTCAACGACTTTGACTTTGGTTTTTACTGCGCTTCTGCGCTTCCTACTGCGGTAGGAGTTTTTCCTGTGCCTCTGCTTGATGGTTTTTCCTGGATCTGGTGGCACTTGTGTCGACGCCAAAGTTGACTTTGAACACTTTTACGTTTCGCTGATTTTTCAAGAGTTTCATTTTACTTTTTTCTCGGTTTCTTTTCTCGTGCCCACATTTGACTAGAATCCCCACCGCCCACAGAGCGTCCTCTGACTTCCTCCCTGCCTGCTGCCTCTCGTGTCGTCGTCACTCATTAGAAAAACGTTGCAGAAAGTCGCACACCAAAAAAAAATGTGCACTACGTGTTGCAGTCGAAAGAGAGAAAAAACCCAGAGCCCAGTAGAGGAAAAACCAAGAAAAACCCTCATGTAAAGAGTAAAGAAATAAGAAAAAAGGAGAATAAGAAAAACTTTATTACAAACTTTTCGTGAGTGAAGAAAAGGGAAAAGGCTGGGTGAAGGAAAAACCTTGGTTCTAAAGTTTAATATTTGATTTAAAAGTTGATAAAATTTACTTTATTCCAACACTCCACTTAATGGCAGCCCTGCCCCGCTCCGCCTAGCCAAACACCATTCTACACCGTCCGTCGTGTTGTTTGTTTTTTATTGAGTTTCTGCAAATGTTTCTTGGGGTCTACTGCCAGGGCTGCCACCCATTCGGCCACGCATTCTATTTCATTCCAACCCTAGGGGTTCCTTCCTTTCTTCTCTTTTTTGGTTCGTGTATCGGCTAACGCGTTGATTTTTCATTTCGTCATGCAAATATGGAAAACCAATGGGGAAAAATGGGCAGCAGGCTGGAAGGAAAATGGAAAAAATTTGCAAATGCTTTTGTTTGTTTGCCTTGAAATGGAAAAACCCACACTGCAGCGCTAGAGAACTACGGCAGAAATATGGGCAGTGTTTTGTAAGGCTCACAGGATATGAATGACTGTAGGGTCGGAGGGCAGAAAGGGGGGTTGAATGAGAGGTACGAATGGGGCTGATAGATGGTTCGAGAGGGGCTGAAGTGTAATTACTGAAAGGGGGTACTAGATAAAGTTACTAGAAGGGGTTCTAGTGGGCTTCTTACTGGGTTAGCTGGAGAATCTGTAGTAGCTGTTTCCAGAAGGAGTATCTGAAGGAATGATAGGCAGTGGCAAGGCACCATCTGATATGATATAGGAGGTTTATTATTCAAGTATAATGACAATTTGCATAGAAAATAAAGCAGAAAATGTTCGCCAATAATCACCGAAAACACTATAAAATTCACCGAATTGTGTACAAAAATTGAACCAACAAATGTCCTATTTCATTTGGCAAAATATTATTTCTAAGTAAATATTCTGCTATTCCAAGCCCGCAGTTATTTGCATATTTTCAAACATTTATGCCATAAAAACCGCTTCAATCATAGAAATTCACTAGGCATGGCAATGCATCATCTATGGGGAATATGGAAACCCATCCGGCAGACACGGCAGACAGAAATACAAACAATTTTTCGCATGCCACCAACTAATTTAGAGGAGCACCTCCTTGCTGGTCTTCCTGTTCTTTTTCTTCTATATTTATTTCTGAGCAAATTGGCAAATTGAGTTTGTTAGTCTCGGGCATCTCCTCCTACAGCTGCTGCTGCTCCTGAAACTCCTCCTACTTCCTCAATGACACACAGAAATGTTGCACTGCCCCTGCCCTTGCTGTCCTTGCTGCAGCTGTGGCACGAGGACTTGTACTTGTACTTCCTCCCACGGATAAACCCAATTTGGCGCCCATGTCACATACGTCAACGCGACACTGCCACGCCCACAGTTCGTTTGGCAATTTGTCAGCTCTTTTCCGCCGCTATTTTCGCTTCTGCTGTTTTTTGTTTTTGTTTTTAGCTTTATTTTTCATTGCTGCTGATGCTGCTGCTGCATCACGTGCCACACAACGGCAGCACGTTTAGCTGAGCTTATCATTTTCTCAAAAGACTTTACTTTTTTGTTGTTTGTGTGTATATATTGCCATTTCATTTGTTTTCTTTCGATGGAGTCGTTCTCTTTCTGAATGACGTCTCTGTATGTCTCTGTCTAGGAGAACAAGAGAGAGAGAGAGAGAGAGAGAGAGAGAGAGAGAGAGCGAGAGTGCCGTCCCTTCGCTCTGTTTCTAGTTAGTATGCAAAACGTCAACTAAACCAAAAACTGACAAAGTTGAAATAAATTTTTATTTCATGATCAGAGCGCTCTCTCCATTTGGGGTTTTTTTATATTTCGGCAATGAACTTGCCGCAGATTCAGTTTAGAGCGAAAGGAAAACGAGAAAACATATTCCTTGAGTACGATGTCGAACCTATACATACTCTTACCAATAATTTATTTCCATTGTAATAAGGATAATGAGTAAAAATCACATACAAAATTCGAAATTACTGATCCTTTTCGTGAATTATGTAGATATATTTAAAAACGGAATTTGGAAGCTTATTTTCATACAAGAATATACTCGTATATTCTCTAATAAAAATACAAAAAAACTTCGGTATCTCTCCCCAGCAAACCTGTACTCAAAATCGGTATACCCTCTCCTAAAGCATCGACATTTATAAACATTCCTTGGCCGTACCCTTAGCCTTTGCCTAGAACGGGATTTAGGAGCGCCTCCTAGAGAGGGAAAAGAATTTTGGGAAATCGCATCACGTAGCAGACGGCGCACGCGAGTTAAAAGAAAAACTGAAGAAACCCGAAGAAACAGCAGCAGAAAACTCTGCTCACTTTCGAGCTTTTCCGTCAAAAAATCTCACCCCAAAGACGAGTGAAAACTTTTTAATTTTAATTTCATAAATGCAATGAAGTGCAACAACTGGCTGCAGTTTTCGAGAATCATCATCATCATCCGGTGGCCGCAGCCGCTGCAGAATCCTCATCTAAATTCAATCAGAGATGCAAGGGGCAGCAGCTGGGGCAGCAAGGAGAGGAAGCAGAGAGTGGCACAGTCCCACAGTCTGTGTGGCAGTTGCAGGACTGTCTGTCGGTCTCTTTACCTGCCTGCCACCTGTCCACCGAAATTGCTTAGTGCGGCGGAAATCATCATTTTCCAACTCCCGTAACTGAATTTCCCCAGCAGTTCCCGGTGCAAAAACGAAAAAAAAAAAAAGTTTTGTCATCCATGGATAGATGACGTATCCACCTTTCAAATGCATGCCACACGCCCTGCCACACACTCGAAACGTGTGACTGTGTGTGTTTGTGTGTGTGCGGGGGAAATATTTTCACGTCGATGCCACACGGCATTTGCATATGGCCCGGATAATGGTACGGCAGCGGGTTTTCTGTGTGTGTATTTTTCCTTCTCTCTTTTTTGTCATTCAAAAAACAATTAACGCAAAAATAAAAAAAGTAGTAGAGTGACTCATGGGACACGGCTTTTGGGTGAACAAAATTCAATGGCATTTGGATTTTTTTCACGTATTTTTATGAGACGAAATCCAGAAGAGAAAATTATTTCCAGTGCCAGTCACCGTCGTAATGGCAGTGCGGACTAAGGAAGGTGGCGCAGGAGTGTTCCTGCAGGAAGTGGCAGCCTTTTCAGAAGAATTTTCTGAATTTTAATTAAGAAATAATGAGTTAATAGAATGAGAAACCATCTGGAGAGACTATTGGTGGAATTATAGCATAGATTAACCTTGAAAACAGTTGGGAAAATTTACTTAAAACTAAACTTAAACACTAACAAATAATTTTAATTGGGGTTTGAATTGTAAAATATATTATTGTGCATTTGAAAAGAGGTTTAGAAATTCAAAAACCACAAAAAACAACCTTCCTGCTATTTTTGTATCAATTTTTTTTATCGAATTCCCTTTATTGCCTTCATTAAATTCTCGGAATTTCTAAGAAGTAATTCTTCTCCACTTACCATTTGCTGTTGACTCTTTGGCTTCTTGACCAAATCGGGCACCTTGAAGCTGGTAACAGCCTCAATAACCTCCGCCAGCAGCAGGCCATCGCGACAGTCTGCTGAGAGATCTGTGACTTTTCTTTTCGATTTGGCACGCTCCAAATAATAGTTGGCCCAATCCGTGTAGATCTGCAAAAAATTAAAATGAAAAGAGGATAAATATGTATGAATATAAATGAATATAAATGCTAACAAAATGGCAGACTGCTGGCATATTCGGGTTGTAATTAAGGGCCAGCAGATATTACAAAAATGTACTTCCGCACAGCTGTCTCTGTGTAGATGTGGATGCATCGCACACACAAAGTTGCAATCTCTGTTACACTCAGATTTTTGGGTTATCAGGAAATCATTAGCCATTTTCCCATCTTCTTTCGGGGAAAGAGAGGAGCTTCCTACTGCTCCTAGATAACTTCCTTCTGCCTGGAAAGGACATACATATGCACAAGGAATAGGCAAACAAATTAAAATTGAAGACATTTATCCACACCCACGACAAGAAGAGGGAAAGACAAGGGAGAGCAGTCTTTTCGAGAGGTCGTTAAGCAAATCTGTGGCAGCAGGAATCCTTTTTATATGCTTTAGTTTGTGTACTCGTATACGGAGAGTGAGATTAGCCATATACATATGTATATTTTTCCATCTCTATCCATTAGTTACATATATTTGATTCAGTCTCAGTTCGTTTTGCGAAAGGTTCTTAATTTGAACACCCTTTTTAGGAATTATTAAAATTATGAAACGTACGTAGAAAAGCATCAAACAGAAAACTGTAGTAAATGGAGGAATTTTCCCAAAAAAATATTTGTCCCTTTTTAGTAGAATTTAAGAATAATTCTCCATCAGTGCGGTGTATAGTGTTTTATGCTTGTTTTTATTTGGCTAACTTTATTTGTTTTCCTTGCAACATTTTCATTGGGCACATCTGTAATTATTATGGCATAGGACTTTTGTGATTTCATGGCAGATGAGACAAAGATTTGCCTAAATTGTAAAGGGTATATGGATTTTCAAAGGCATTCAGTTACCGAAATAATTAAACAAGCATCAAAGAGAAGATTCTCAAAGAAATAAACAGAAACATGCTGAAAACTGTGTTAATTAAATGAAAGATGAATTTTTCTTTGGAAATAATTAAATATTTGATGTATCTTAATATATTTTTAGTATATTAAAACCATAAATTTAAGTTTTCAAGTAATGTTTCTAATGCATAAATACTATTAGAAGAATTAACTAAATGCCAAACAATAATTCAAAGCCTAAAGCAAAGTCTTAGCAAGTTTTACCCACAAAGTTCTGGAGCAGAAAACTAATAAGAAATGCTGGAAACTGTAAAAGGCAACATTTCCTTTGCACTTCTGTTGTTTTTTCCCTGGCACTCGCACTCTTCCACTTACTCCACCTTCTTCCCTGATCCTTTAGGGTATTTGAACTTTCCTTTTTGTTTCTCATGCTCGGGTCTCGGTTCTTGGTCTCGGGGCATTATTAGCTTTCCCAGACATTTGCTGGCCCCTCACATCGTTAGGCACATCCTTACATAGTTTTTATTATGCCACATGCCACATGTCCTATGATCCCAGGCCACAGTCCTCCCCCCGCAATGGTAATCCTAATGTGGCAGTCATCTCCCTGCCCACTGTCTACCGCCTGCTCGCCTGCTGCATATGCATGCGACACATTTTGTTTGGCCTTTGCTTTGGCAATAAAAATATCTTTCTTGCATTGTACTTTTGCTATCTTTTCTATCTTTTGCCAGCCTTCAGAGTCGCTGCTCTCTCTCTCTATCTCCGACCACTCTATTTCAGCCAAACTCTCTTCCATGCCCCTTTCCTTCGCTGCTTTCCACTGGTTTGTCTGGCTATTGTTCCCCTTTTGTTGTGGGCCCTCTACTGTTTAGCCATATTCCATTTGTTGTTGGCACAGCCAAGTTACGAGCTGGCTTTACATCTCAAAGGGGGGCCAACACACAGGACAGACACAAAACACAACAATGGACTTGGCCCTGGACTGAAAAGTCCTGAAAAGTTTGCTTATGCACGGTGTTTTTTTTCCTAGAGTACCTTTTAGGTTGAGGTGTGTTACGATATGTTTTGTTTTTGAGTGAGTTTCGAACTAAATACCGAATTTCATTACAATTAAATTATATTTAGCAGTATAAATATAAAATAAATGTTAAAAGTTGATTCAACGGCTAGACTTATGGAATTTCCTCTGAATAAGCCAATTCTATTTTCAATGTGACATGAAAAGTACTCCTACATGTATATGTAATGGGTCTTAAGAGCTCTTAAAAATCTTGCATTTCTTTACTGAGCAAAGAGATAATGTTATTTTTTAAGCGAAAGCCGACATTCAATCCGATCTGAGGAATGCAAAGCAGTAGAAGTCCATAAAGACACAAGGGAATTCCAAGGGAATTCATTCTGAAATTCAAATCAATTTTGTAGGGTAATCGTTACACATTTTATACATTTAGTTTAAAATATGTTCTGGAAAATATATTTTAATTTTCTTCAGGTTTGCCTTAAATTATTCTCTAAGAGGTATTTTTTAGTCTACTCTAAACTCTGAGATGGTTTACTATTATTGCCCTTGCCTTTGATTTCCTTTTGGGTTTCCCTGTTATTCTTTTTCTGCTTTAGGCTCAGGATTTGGCTTGGCTTTGGCATTGGCTTTGGCTTTGGCTTTAGGCTTTCGGACAATAAACTGAAAAACTTGTTACTGGAAATGGCCGTGCGGGCGGGCAAAAGTGCAAATGTCAGTGTCACTGTGGAAAGTCCTCTCTGGCTATGGCTTACAGTACTCGTACGAGTAGATATGCCACTCGCACATCACACACCCAACCTTGACAGAGAGCAAGGCTCCCCTCTGTGTTTGTGTGTCTGGCATATATGAACATGCTCTATAGTTACTTCTCTCCGCAATTTTGCTCTATTTTGAATTGAAAACTACGAGTGAAACTTAGTTAAAGGACAAAATGTGACTCATTTCTTTCGTTTACTAATTAATTTATAGTCGACTCCTCCTTATAGTCGTTCCCCTCGCATACAAACCTTGGCATAGTCCCTCGTCAGGATGCCATTGATGTTGTCACAGGATCCTTGATAGCTCACGCAGCGAGCCAACATTTTGCCGTGTAGAAACGAAAGGGTTTCCCCTGATTGATGAAGTTGACAATTTTCTTTCGTTTCCTTTTTTTTGTTGTTTACACTTTTACGCACATTTTCTTGATAATTTGTTTTCCTCTTTTTTCTTACACCTTTTTATACATTTTGTTGATTACTTTTAGTTGTTTTTTTACTGCTTTATAAGGAAATTATATGGCAACGGCTGGGTTGGGTTTTCTAATGGATTTCAGAACTGAATTTAATTAAAGGAAATACAAAGAGAATGGTGAAAGAGAATTAAGAAAGGCTTTTATTCTTATTTTAACTGGAAACGGATATATTTTTAAATACAGAAAATATTGAAAATGGAAAAATATTGTAAGCGAATGTAAGCAAAGATCTTCGAGAGCAGGCTGATGAACTTTAAACATACAAGAAACACTTCAGAAAGTATGTTAGACACGGGAAACCGTAGAGTTTTATCTTAAAGAAGTGCCCAACCCATAGACCACATCACAATCAAAAAGCCCAACTCATTCGCCATGAATAAGTACACTTATCACACATTATGCACCTTTCAGCCGCAGCGCCACAAACCCCTCTCCTTCTAGTGCCTTTCCCCTTTTTTTCTCCCGCGCCTTTGCTTTTTTCATAAATATAAAATTACAGCCCCAACGGATGGCCCACATTTTGTATGCTTTGCTTCATTATTGTTAGTAATTTTCCTTTTTTTGCGCGAGCAAAAGACCCATTAAAATGTCAATTATGATAAAGTTTTATTGAAACGCCACACGGCGCTGAAAGGGCATTAAAGCTTATCAGCAGGGAACAAGAATGAACCCCAGAAGAAGGCCCGAAGAGGAGACCCACAGAGAGGGGTCCTTGAGGGCAATAATAATACCCACTAAAAACATTAGGCAATGCTTTTTCACTTTCACCCTTTTCAAAAGGCGTACCCTGCTCCACCGAAATTCTGTTTTTCGGGCCCTCTAAAACCGTTTCCTTTCTGTCAGTGCATTCCTTTTACATTTTCCCCCTTTTTTCGTGAGGTTTTCGTGTTGAAAATCACACGCCCACTTGGGTAAACTAATTGAAAATGGAAAGTGCCACAAACACCTCTACGGAAATGGGTTTTTCGTGGAAGCTTATGCATAATTGGAGCCAACGTCCGACACCCTTGTCAGCGACAATTCAGAATCCGTTTAGAGTAGAACTTTGCTATTGGCCAAACAATTTTGTTAGCCTGATAAATTTTCTAGTATTTTTCGTTGGGGGGTTGACAAATCGTTCAGGAAATCAATTTTTGTGTGCGCTGCAAGTATGAAAAAGGTCAAAACAGTAGCCCCATTTACCAAATGAAAGAAAAAGGGGGAAAACCCTTTAGAAAACCCCATAGTCCATTTCTCAGACACGCCCTTATCTTACATGGGTAAATGTCATTCGGAGGGTGGCTACTTTTCCGACGGGATCTTTTGCCTCCAGGACTACGCTTTTACCTTACATTTTTCGTTCTTCGTTTGTTACGTTTCGCTTCTTGTGGAAAATGTCAGTGGAAATGTCACAAAAATAAAAGTAATGCTGATAAAAATTTTATAGCTTGTCAGAAAATGTGCGCAAAAACAAAAAACACACACAGGAAACAGGAAAAATAAAGGCCCTCAAGGGGGAGAGCCAGCCAATGTTTCTGTTCTGTTCTTTATCAAAAAGATGTCGCGACTTTTTGGGTACTTTAGTTTATTGGAATTTGCATGCCACATGCCACATTCATGGCACAGGCAAAGAGCTAGCAACGGAGGGCAGGGTGGGGATGGTTTTAGGTTCTGTATTGCTCCTCAAAATTTATGTTAAATCGAAGTGCCTGTAAATATTGTCTGCTGCTGGCTGTTAAATAACTCCATTTATGTGTGTGTGTGCTGTTCGTCTGTCTGTGTGTCTTTCTGTCTGTTTGTCTGTCTGTCTTTGTGACAGCGTACGTGCTCGCTCGTTAAGTTTATCTGCCAGTTAACAGTTAACTGTCGG